CTCCCTGAAGGGATGAGTTTTCAGGGATAGTCTAAAGACAGCCAGAGAAGGGGACAGCCAGACAGATTGAGGTAGAGAGTTTCAGAGGATGAGAGAGGCTCTGGCGAAGTCCTGGAGATGAGCATGGGAGGAGGAGACAAGGGAGCTTGAGAGCAAGAGATCATGACAGGAGCAGAGAGGAGGACCGTTTGGGTGATATTTGGAGACAAGATTGGTGATGGAGAAGGGCGTGAAGTCATGGAGAAGGGCACAAACTGGTGAGAGATGAGTTTGAGAGAGATTTAGTTTAGGGAGTGATGCGACATCCATGCCGATATGTCAGTTAGTAATGCGAAAGGAGACTGAAGGAGTAAGATGAGGAATAGAGAAATATATTTGGATGTTATTGGCATATGGATGGTATTGGAAGCCGTGGGAGGTTATCAGGTGACCAAGAGAAAAAGGTGTAGTTCCTGTCCTGTCCCCTCACAACTACTACGGTCACCCTCTTCTTCCATCCTATGCTCCCTTACTCATATCTTCAATCTTTCCCTCTCTACTGGTGCCTTCCCTTCCCCTCCCCTCTAAAGCATGTGCACATCACTCCCATACTTAAAAAGCCCTCCCTGGACACCACCAACCTGAACAACTTAAGACATATCTCCCTGCTGCCATTTACCTCTAAACTCCTAGAACGCTTAGTCTACAATCGCCTGAGCTCCCACCTCACCGACAACAACCTTCTTGACCCTTTACAGTCTGGCTTTCGCTCACTACACTCCACTGAAACTGCCCTACTAAAAAAACTCACGAATGATCTAACTGCTAAAACCAATGGCCACTACTGCGTACTCTTACTACTTGACCTCTCTGCAGCTTTTGATACGGTTGATCATCCCCTCCTCCTCAAAAAACGCCACTCTCTTGGCCTCAGACTCTGCTCTCTCCTGGTTCTCCTCCTATCGCAGCGCTCCTTCAGTGTTACCTATAATGCTGTCTCCTCCTCTTCACTCCCTCTTTCTGTAGGCATCCCTCAAGGTTCTGTCCTTGGACCCCTTCTCTTCTCCATCTACACCACCTCCCTTGGTTACTTGATAAACTCCCATGGCTTTAAATACCATCTCTATGCTGATGACACACAAATCTATCTTTCTACCCCTCACCTCTTCAGTCTCCTCTCGCATCACTAACCTACTAAGTGACATATCGGCATGGATGTCACTCCACCTCCTCAAACTCAAGCTTTCCAAAACGGAGCTCTTAGTATTCCCCCCAGCCCGTGCCCCCTCCCCTGACTTCTCCATCAAGAATCAACAACACAATCATCAGTCCCTCCCCTCATGCCAGGGTACTAGGTGTAATCCTAGACTCCCATCTGTCCTTTCAGCCCCAAATCCAATCACTGTCCAAATCTTGTAGACTTCACCTCCGCAACATCTCCAAGATATGCCCATTCCTAACCTTGGAAACCACTAAGCAACTTATCCACTCCCTTGTTATATCTCGCCTGACTATTGTAACTCCCTCCTCATTGGCCTACCTCATCGCAGGCTATCCCTCTTCAGTCTATCATGAATGCTGCTGCCAGGATCATCCACCTTACTAACCGTTCTGTATCTGCCACCCCTCTCTGCCAATCCCTCCACTGGCTTTCCGTTGCCCAACGGATAAAATTCAAAACACTAACAACGTATAAAGCCATTTATAACTCTGCCACAAATTACATCACCGATCTTGTCTCTAAATATCACCCAAACCGTACTCTCCGCTCCTCGCAAGACCTCCTACTCTCTAGCACCCTTGTCTCTTCTTCCCATGCTCATCTCCAGGACTTCTCCAGAGCTTCCCCCATCCTCTGGAACTCTCTACCCCAATTTATCAGACTATCGCCTACTCTGCACACTTTTAAGCGATCTCTAAAAACTTCTCCAGGGAAACCTATCCTGCCCTCAGCTAATACTGGAATCTTCTACTCTTCCAACCAGTCCATCCCCCACAGTTACTTCCTTTTGTACCACTAGCCCCTCCCTCCTAGATTGTAAGCTCCAAGGAGCAGGGCCCTCAAATCCCTCTTGTATTGAACTGTATTGTCTCCCTTTATATTGTAAAGCGCTGAGCAAACTGTTGGCGCTATATAAATCCTGTATAATAATAATAATAATAATAATAGAGAAGAGAAGGAGTCCAAGAACAGAGACTTGGGGGACCCCTACAGAAAGAGAAAGTGGAAAGGAGGAGACCGAGTTATAGGTAACACTGAAGAAGCGCTGTGATAGGTAGGACGACAACCAGGAAAGAGCTGACTCTCGGGAGACCAAGGCAGTGAAGTTTATTGAGAAGGAGTGGGTGGTCAACAGTATCTAAGGCTGCAGAGAGGTCTAGCAGCAAGAGTATGGAGTAGTGGCCATTGCTTTTAGCAGTTAGTAAATTCGTGAGTTTTTAGTAGGCCAGTTTCTGTGGAGTGCTGTAAGTGAAAGCCAGACTCTGGGGAGGGTCAAGAAGGTTGTTTCAGTGAGGTAGGAGCTAAGACGGTTGACGAATAAGCTTTCCAAAACTTTTAGAGGTGAATGGGAGCAGCAGGATGGGTATTAAGTTGTTCAGGTTGGTGGGGTCCAGTGAGGGCTTTTTAAGTATGGGAGTGATCTGTGCATGGTTTAGGGGTAAGGGAAAGGTGCCAGTAGAAAGGGAGAGATTGTAGATGTGAGAGAGCATAGGATAGAAGAAATGGGTGACCATAGTAGTTGCAATGAAACAGGATACAGGGGACAATTGGTTAGGTGGCATCTGAGAAAAAAGTTTGGTAACCTCTTCAGTAGTAGCCAGTGTAGCAATCTTGTACTCAGATATGGACGCCGTGCCACCATTTTGTCAAAGCACATCCAATTTGATAAGAGCATACATTTCTCCCTCAATCCTTCATTCCCTACCCCCTCCCTTCCTGAGAGGCACAGGGACAGATGTGTGTGTTAAAAGTTGCGGGCAGGCTAGAACAGCAGGGGGGGCCCAGAGCTACAAAGCTCCCCCATGAAGCCAGAGCCTGGTTGTCCCAAGGCCTGTGAAATCTCACCCCTCCTAATCAAGATAAGATAGCTTTTCCCTGGACTTGAAAGAAGTCGGAACCTCATAAAACCTACCAGCCAGGTGACAGAAGTTAATTGAACATTGCTCAAGTCAGGTTTTTTCCCCTATGTTTCATGTCATGGATTATGACAGATGTTGGTTCTAATTCAGAGTAGTTCCCCGACTGACCCCTCCCAAAACAGCGTAGTGGCCAGTATTTAGAGCCACCCCCCTTTGCAGGGGGATTTTTAAAAAAAGACAGGCTGGCAAGCCAAAAGTTTAAGCTAAAGACATCTCCTGATCTTAACATTGTAACAGCAGGAGATCAAAGACCCTTTCCGCTCTGCAACTTGGATCTGCTTACAAACCAAGGCGTATTGGCAAGTAACTTAACCCTTTAACTTCCTTCCTATTACCTCTTTGCTGTGTTGTGGGTATATATATATCTCTTAGTTACATCTTTTTGTAAATATCTTGTTGCACCTGTTTGACTCTTTTAGTAATAAACCTCTCTTTCTGAAAGTGTTGAACTGTTTCTAAGCGTTACTTGCAATTCACGAATTCCTGCCTTTGAAGAGACGCTGTTTGTTATAATCTCTGTATAACAGGCCTGCGGACCGTGTTGTATAGATCAACATTTCAATCATTATAGTGTATATTTGATAACAGGAGTTTCCCAGTCTCTGACAAAAGTGGGGTGGCAGTAGAGGGTTAGTTGCGTAATTAACCCGACCCAGTAACAAGCGCATTCAGGCTGCAGGCACCGATTGTAGCCCATTAGCTGGACAATAGCTGTGCAGGGTGCAGCTGGGTGTGGCCTTGTTACGCGCGTCACACCACGGTTTTTAGATCGGCTGGTCCTTTGGTCACGAGTTTGGTGAGAAGGTCTGGGGTCTGACGCCACAGGCGTGACGTTTTGTTGGTCGCGGTCATGCGATTGTCGCATGTTGGTGGCGGCGATCGTGACAGCCAGTTCAAGAGAGGAAAGTGTAGATTGTGCAAGGTACATTAAGTGGAAGATATCTGTATAGTGGATGTGTCCTCACGTATTGCAGCAATCTTGTCTTTGAAGTGACTGGCAATCTCTTGGGCAGTGAGTGAGTTAGTGGGTAAAGGGGGTGGGGGAAAGAGAGAGTTAGAGGTAGCGAAGAGCCGAGAAGGACTGAATGACAAGGTATTAATAAGACACAAAGTAGGTTTGTTTGGCAGCATGGAGGCAGGAACTGTATTTTAAGAGGGCGGTCCTGCAGGGATTTGGTTTTTGCAGGGATTTGAACAACTGTTCAAGAGCACAACATATCTTGAGATTTCTGGCGTTGTCAGTTTGTAACAGTCGGGGCCTGATTCTTCCTGTAGTTAGAGGAGCAAGTGCATCCAGTGCAGATGAAAGTGAACTATTTTAGACAGAGGAGGCCAGGTTAGGACAGAAAGATTTTGGCCATAGAGGTAGTCAGTAGCAGAATGGAGAAGAAAAGGGTTAAAGATCTAAGAACCTTACATAGTTTGTCAAAAAATACCCAATGGCCAGCCTATTCCAACTAAGGTATATAAAAAAGGCAAAAAGGGTGCTAACATGGCAAGCCCCTTTGAACAAGGAACACCACAGCCCTCTAGCCCCAGTGTAGCAGACGCACACCTTTAGGTAGATGGAGGACAGAGATAGTGTACACCTACACACACACACACCCACACACCCGAAAATTCTAAAGATAAATTTGACTAAGCAGTGTCAGTAATTTGCTCATGGAGATGAACAGGAAAATCTTGTACACTCTGCACATGGCTGGTCAAAAAACAGCATACTTTTCTTACAGATTTTACTCTCGTTACCCCTCCCTGCAAAAGTGTTTTGTGCAGTTCTTTTTAACAAACTTACATAAGACTATGCAACTGCTGAAATGTTTAATAAGGTGAGGAGGATTTTTATTACAGAGTCACTTTAAAATATCCCAAAATCTTACCTAAAAAGTACCACACGCCAAAGAATGGGGAAGCCACTAGCTGGTCGGTTAAAACCTTTTTCAATACAATTTTAATTCCCCGGCCAGGAAAGGATCGATCCAGCCACGAGTACCAGAAATGCATAATTGGGCCCATTGAGCAACCTATGGCAAACATATGGCCTAGAAGAAAAGAGTAGGCAACAATCAATAGTGAAAAAGTAAATCATGGATTAGAAAGACCAACACTTGTCAACATTTACTGATGCTGTGACATTACAGCAGACCTAGATGCTAAATTCAGTCAGCTATTCAAATGTTAGACACTGGGTAGGGTTGTAAGGTTTCATAAACACTAGTAGCTTTTATCTGCAATTTTCAGCAGTATGTTGATAGATGTTGTAACCTTTTTCTTATGCATTTTCAGCTTCAGTGTGCACTTGTATCAGTTTACATGCATTTCCTACAAAGTAAACTGACCTTAAATGCATGTACTTTGTACAATGAAGATAAAGTTTCTAACCATGTGAATGGTGCCATTTCCTATTACTCCTATTCTAGTTTGCTGCAGATTAACCCAGCTTTGCTTTTCTTCACATCATTTCACTTTTATTGAAAATGACCTTAGGCAAGTTAGGCTGCATCACACGGCTTTTGCATTTTTGTGGCCAAGACCTTCTCACCTTGCACAAATTCCTGCTGCTTCAAATGGACCACCAATGGTTGCAACAGCCGTTCAAGTGCCACAAAAATTAAAGCGGCCTGTCAAATGCTTTCTGAAGAGCAATTTTGTGTTTCTCTATGCAATTCAGGTAGACTGTGGCTATGGTGTGGGGCTGGCAGGGTGTTGTACATATGCTGATGAGCCTCTGAGTGAAAAAAAAATGAAATCCAATGAATGAAATGGTTGGCCAGGGACAGCACGGTGGAGGGAGAAGCTAGATGATGCTGGATGTTCACTAGCCAGATAATTAGGTGGGCTCTAAATTCCTTTGAACTAATAAAAGGAGAACATGAGGCCATGTATGTTTACCGTATCGCTGAACGCATATTATCTGCCAAGTAAGCAAAAACCAGACAGCAAAAAAAAAAAAAAAAAAAAAAAAAAAAAAAAAAAAAAAAAGGGGGGGGGGGGGGGGGAAAAGGAATTCACAAGAAAACTGGTTACATCATGGACAGAAAGCAATACCCAAAGATGTCTCAAAAATTATGCTTTATTGCACACAATGCATACATTAGACATTTAGGTAAATACCTCAGGTAGGCATCACCACAAGTTGAGACAATACAAAAAACCCTTAGGGGTTTAAATGTTAAACTTGATCTCCAAGTGTTTTTGCATAAATAGGGAAGTATGAGAAATTACATTGATCATATGCTACTTTCCATTCTGTGAATAGGGTACTCCTGAATCAGTTTCCTTTACTGGTACTGCTGAGGTATAGAATTATGTTTCCCATTGTGATTGCCAGGTATTCTTAAATTTTTCCATAATGACCGCTTTATTTCCCAATGAGATGCTTTGCCTGCAGTTTATTTACATACAGTGGGGACTGAAAGTTTGGGCACCCCAGCTAAAAATTTGTATTAATGTGTAAGCTCGAAAGAGCAGGGCCCTTGATCCCCTCATGTTTTGCATTGTATTGGTATTGTTCTGTCACATGTTCTGTCCCCCTTTGTAATGTACAGCGCTGAGCGAACTATTGGTGCTTTATAAATACTGTATAATAATAATAATAATAATAATAATAATAATAATAATAATGTAATATAATAACAGTGCATAAAGGAAGCCAAGGAAAGATGGAAAAATCTCCAAAAAGGCATCAAATTACAGATTAGACATTCTTATAATATGTCAACAAAAGTTAGATTTTATTTCCATCATTTACACTTTCAAAATAACAGAAAAACAAAAAAATGGCATCTGCAAAAGTTTGGTCACCCTGCACAGTTAATATCTTGTACTGCCCCCTTTGGCAAGTATCACAGCTTGTAAACGCTTTTTGTAGCCAGCCAAGAGTCTTTCAATTCTTGTTTGAGGTATCTTTGCCCATTCTTCCTTACAAAAGTCTTCCAGTTCTTTGAGATTTCTGGGCTGTCTGTCACGCACTGCTCTTTTAAGGTCTATCCATAGATTTTCAATTATGTTGAGGTCAGGAGATTGTGAAGGCCATGGCAAAACCTTCAGTTTACGCCTCTTGATGTAATCCCCCGTGGATTTCGAGGTGTGTTTTAGGATCATTATCCATTTGTAGAAGCCATCCTCTCTTTAACTTCAGCTTTTTCACAGATGGCATCAAGTTACCATCCAAAATTTGCTGAAATTTTATTGAATCCATTTTTCCTTCTACTCGTGAGATGTTCCCTGTGCCACTGGCTGCAACACAACCCCAAAGCATGATTGATCCAACCCCATGCCTAACAGTTGGACAGAGGTTCTTTTCATTAAATTCTGTGCCCCTTCTTCTCACCAAACGTACCTTTGCTCATTCCGGCCAAAAAGTTCAATTTTAACCTCATCGGTCCACAGAACTTGTTTCCAAAATGCATCAGGCTTGTCTATATGTTCATTTGCAAAGTTCAAACGATGATTTTTGTGGTGATTTTTCTGTGCATGAAGACCATGTCTGTATCCATAGTGGAATAGTGTACCACAACCCCAGTGTCTGCCAGATCTTTCTGGGGGATCGTGCAGTTAAACGTGGGTTTTGAATTGTTTTTCTCACAATCCTGCGAGCTGTTCTGATATTTTTTTTGGTCTTCCAGATCTTGCTTTAACTTCCACTGTTCCTGATGACTGTCATTTCTTAATTACATTCCGAACAGAGGATATTGACATCTGAAAACGCTTTGCTATCTTCTCATAGCCTTCTCCAGCTTTGTGAGCATAAACTATTTTCAGTTTCAGTTTTCTAGACAACTGCTTAGAAGAACCCATGGTGCTGATTGTTGGGGTAAGGTCAGATGAGTCTGGGCATTTAAAACCTTTGAGATTGACATCACCTGGTCTTCCCAGACGATGATTGAGAACAATCCATGACACTGGCACGTCTCAGCTTTGCAAAGGGGGCAGTGCATGCTATAAATTCTGCAGGGTGCCCAAACTTTTGCAGACACCATTTTTTGTTTTCTGTTATTTTGAAAGTATAAATGATGGAAATAAAATCTAACTTTTGTTGACATAAAGAATGTCTAATCTGTAATTTGATGCCTTTTGGAGATTTTTCCATCTTTCCCTGGCTTCTTTATGCACATTAATACAAATTTTTAGCTGGGGTGCCCAAACTTTCGATCCCCATTGTATATGGGTGGGGATCCGCCTTATATAAATGCAGCTTTGAGCTATGCATTCCATTGGTCCTGATGAAGCTGAGTAAGATATGCGCTCATCAGCGAAACGCACTGACATCACAACCAGTCAGACGCATTGGCGCCATACACCCAGTCCTGCAGGGGACACGGATACAGAGGCCTGTGCTGGGCGTTCATCAAGCTGCACGTGTACCGGGATAGAAGCGGAGCCCGTTTGTCCACAGTCTCGATGCTGGCAGCTGCTTCCGGGCCTGAATCCAACTATGAGAGAAATTATGCTTCGTCGTCCTTTATTTATTGAACGGGTGGATGGGACATCATGCTACACTTCTTGAAAGGTGCACAGCACCCTACTTTCATTATACAGCATGGACACTCCTACAATCTACACAACAGATATATAATAAGGGAGACATCTAGTCCACATGCTGGCGGTGAAGAATCCCTACATTATATTGGCAGGTCCCTGCCATTTCAACTACAGATGATGTCATATGGAGAAATCACTACTGTCCCTAAGTCTATTTCACAATACTATTCTTTGGGCATGACACTCTATCCACCAGTTAACAACCAATCATCCCGGTTATAAGTGCTATTATTTTGATTATATTTTTCTACTAAAGTGTGTGGTAACACACTATAGCATCAGGTTCTGGTGCTTTTACAAGCAATCTAATTTTTGTGCTGCATATGTCTCTCTTGGAACCTTGCCCTGAGCTGGATTCTTTCACTATTAGTATTTAAATTGGATTCCTTAACCCACATTATACTGGTACCAATGTCCACACTATTGCATATTTGATGTATAGCCTATTATGGTGATGATTTTTTTGATATGTGCTGCATATGTACTAGACTCAGTGTCATTACATTTATAGCACTAATTATATTCATGACGTCTTGCTTTTAATAATTTTTGGTTTTAGGTCATACTTTTTTGTATTGTCTCATCTTGTGGTGATGGCTACCTGAGGTATTTACCTAAATGTCTAATATATGCATTGTTTGCAATAAAGCATAATTTCTGAGAAATCTTTGGGTATCGCTTTCTGTCCATGATGTAACCGCTTTTCTTGTGAATTCCTTTTTACACCCCCCCCCCCACCCCCCACTTTTTTTTGCTGGCTCAAAATTCCTGCAGGTTCTAATACATACTGTGAGAAGCCTACAGTGAGCAGTGACATCAGTAGAAAATGTCAATACAGGAAATGAGCCTGTGAAACAGTAAAAGACAGAGTTCAGCTTTAACTCAAGTTCCAGAGCCCTATGATCCCTATACCCCCTTGAGTTGGAGTGTTCCCTCCCATTTTGGAGCCTGCTTAGTTCCACACTATATGCCTTTTGTAGTCTACCCCAACATTATACATTGATTTAACTTTTCTGGGGACAATTCGGGTTTTGAGTTTGTAGCAATATTTTTACATATAGTAGGTTATATGGTTTCCAATGGCATATTTCACATGTGGTCAGTTCCAGATCAAGGGGAGGGGGGGGGAAAAAAAAAAAAAAAAAAAAAAAAAAAAAAAAGCACCAGAACGCACATGACCTTATTTAAAGGTGGGAAAATAAGGAAAGTGCATCAAAAACACGCATCCGGACTGTGTTTCTATGGTGTAAACTGACTCTTAAAGTGTATTTCTACTTTTCAGCCAAATTGGGATAACTCCTTTATATTTATCACGTTTCCATTAACATAGCAGGTTCCCTTTTTCAAATTATTTTTTCTTGCTAAGAAATCAGTGCATGCTCTCTCTACTTTGTAATGTTTAGGAGGGGGCCGTGGAGTAATGTTTAACATAACTAACCCTGTCTGTACAGTGTTTACAGTTCGTCTTTATCAACTGTAACTAGGTTTTTATTTATTTTTTAATTCTTTAGTCATAAAATTCGGCAGAGCAATACAAAACAGCCATCCCATAAGACATTAACCAGGCAACACTGTCACGAGTGGGAACCAGTCAGTATAGGAAAGAAAGGTAAGGTACATCCAGAATAACAGGACTTGTTTGTAAAAAGGAAAATAATAATATATAGAATATATGATAATGAAAATAACCACCATCATGGGTTGTATGTTAATCAGTGATAGCTTAGTCTGTGTGGGGGGACGAAGACACTGAACTGTCCAGGAAATTTCCTTCACACATATATGCTGTGTGAAGGGGAACACATACATACAGTGGGGTTTTCTCAAATTTGACTGCAAAAGTGGAAATACATTTTAGTTATACAAGAAATACAAGTTGGAAAGGAATTTGGACAAATTAGAATTATTTTTCCTGTAATTTTTTCCAAGGTAACTCCTCTGTATTTCATGCGTAATTAAATACGCACCCCAAAAACTACCGTTTCCCCGAAGACCTAGAACTATTTTTGGGAATTGCTAAAGTATAAGACCTACCCCAAAAATAAGACCTAGTTGTGATCAGGATTTTTGTTCCGCCACCTCCAACACTGGCCCTGTGCACACCAATATCAACGGTCTCTTATAAACACAGAAGAGCGGCTTTTGTGTTTGCAAGTGACAGTCCCTCTTGTAACATGACAGCACCATCCGCTCCCACAGAACCTCCCTACCTTTGTACTCACTGTGGGACAGAGAAGGAACAGATATCTATGGGCGCAGTGTGTTTAGGGGAGGGGCATCTAGCCCTGCAGCCTAACGTATTGAAGCCGATGTCCCAGGGGTGATCGCTGGCCAGTGAGGAAGAGGAGGAGTGGTGAGTGCACTGTGTGGGAAGATAGGACCGGAACAGGAGTTACTGTAGAGAGGGGCCTGCTGCTGACAGCTGTGTTTTGCAAAGCTAGCTAACCATATGAGGGCAGTGGAGGAGGAGGGGGGATGAGCAAAAGTGAGCTGAAGTAAGCTGTTGCAGAGGTAAATTGACAAGTGAGTTGCAGACAGGCTGCAGTTGGGAGGGTACAGAGGTGAGCTGAGTTGCAACCCACCTCTGCACCCCCCAACCACAGCTGACCTCTGCAACTCATCCCTGCACCCTGTCTGCAACTCACCTGTCAATTCACCCTGCAACACTTGACTGCAGCTCACAACTGTCATCAATCGGCCGTCTATAGTAACCCTATTCCACAACTGCCTGCAGCTCACCTCTGCAACCCCTGTCCACACCTGGACATTAAAACAATAAGGCCTACCCCGAAAATAAGAGTGTTTTTTTAGCCCAAAAAAAAAAAGACACATTGTCTTATTTTCAGGTAAACACAGTACAAGAATCACAAATGTGATTTTATGTAGCCTGCTGTGTTTTGCTGCAGATGCTGTTACATAGCATTTTTGAAGCAGGATTGGAAGCCCAGGAGCTAATTTATTCAGCTCATGACTTTAGTGTTAAATTGCAGCAGTTTCAGCACAGATTTCCCTGTGGGCCTGCTGAACCTTTAAGATCAGTTTTTAGTTTTTTTTTTATTCAATATTTAATAATACCGGTTTAAAAAAATACATTAAAGTTCTGCTTTAAGAGGAAATGAAAGGATAGATGTATATGAGCTGCCATTGCAGATTTGTTTTGAAGGTGCATGTGCTAAGCCTGTCATTCTTTTCCTTTTAACAACTTGACCTACAGCAAGTGTGCTTTTCAGGTGTCAAAAGCAAAGTACAAAGAGATGGCAGCCCAAGAGTCTGCACCTTCACAAACACAAGCAATGACCAACTCCCATAAAAATGTAGGATGCTTGGAAGGAAAGGGAGAGAATGTGAAATCCAACATAAACCATCCAACATAAAAGATTCCTTATTTGTTATTACAGGCTGTGGCAATGATACATTTACCTGTTCTTAGCCAGTCTCGTTGTTTTTCTGGGTTTTTTTTTCGATGTTCTCTTGTTTGCTGGATCATATCACCAATGCCCAGCAGGGCTCCACAACTAACCGTGTTGGTGACTAACAAAATACGACCCGTAAAGAGAGGCTTCCAATAGCCAGACATTCGAGCCAACAATAATCTACCCTGGGGAAGCATCTTGCCCAAATGTCACAGACCACAAGAAACACTGCAGCATTGACCTGGAACATTAAAAATAAATAAAAAAAATAAAACAGATGTTTAAAATAAAGAAACATAAAACTGATGTTTCTATTTTTTATTATTATAATAATGCAGGATTTATAAAGCACTAACAGTTTATGTAGCGCATACAACATAAGGGCAGACAGTACAATTACAATACAAATGAATACAGGAGGGATCAGAGGGCCCTTCTCGTTAGAGCTTAGAATCTAAGATTTAAATAAAACCTGCATATACAGCTCAAAATTAGCATTAGGTGGAGGCTTACAGAATATGAAAACTGAAGTCAATGTAAATGAAAAAAAAAAATAATAAAAAATTATATATATATATATATATATATATATATTCAGATTTTTCTATTACTAATCCACAGAGCAGGACTGAAAATTACTGCTTAAAATAGAACTAAAGACACTTTTTTTTTTTTAAGTTTAGAATAGAGTGTAGTGGGTTTGGGAGGGGTGGGAAGAGAAAAAAAAAAAAAAAAAAAACACAGTTGAGCCATGTTTTTACTGCCCCTCAACTACTATTCTTAAGCTGGATAGGCATGCCATTACACCCCCTGTTGCACTTCAGCTTGCACTCCTGCCCACCAAATGCAATCTCTTCAAGTGAATGGGGCTGTGCTGCATTCAATGCAGCTAATCATGGGAACACCCACCGGGGTTCTCACATGTAACCACCGCGTGGGTGATTACATGTTATTTGAAAGAATGTGATTTGAAAGAATAGGGTAGTCTCAAATAGGGACAGTTACAAGCCTACAGCTAAGCCACTCTCTGGAGTTTACATTTTGTTAGAGCTTAAAATAGAATTCCAGATTCCAAATGCTCCCTCCTTTCCCCTGCAGGCTGACACGAGTGAGCCAGATCATGTGAGGAGGATGGACTAACCTGAAAATAGGCAAATGTACAGATCATTATTATACAGGTTAGAATAAGTGATAGGAGGGGGATGGAGCATTTTATTACCTTTCTTTTTTAATCTCTTGACCCTCTGCCCAGATTGTAAGCTCTAAGGAGCAGGGCCCTCATGTGATTTGACAGTTTCAAATTGTAAGACAAGTCGTACCCTTGTGTCAGCAATGGAACTGTTCAAATTGGTGGAACTCTGACCTTGCGGTGCCACACCAATTTAAAAAAAAAAAGGTTCCTGTACTATTTTTTTGTGATTTCAGGTGTGCATAGCCATCTGTACATGAAATCACACAGATATCATCCAAGTCGCACCTGAAAATTGCACTTATATGCGGCTTTGAAATTGTGCAACTTCAAGTGAAGTCAGGTAATTTCAAAGTCTAATCCAGTGTGAACCAGGGCTTGGTTTTCAGCCATCTTCATTGGCCATGCACAAGAGCTAGCCATCCAGAAGCACAGGGACTGGGCACATGTGCAGCACAGTTTACATGATGGAGATCTCTTCTGCAATAAAAAAGGCCTGCCTGCTCACAGTGAGTCACAGTGGGACTTTAGTTCCACTTTACCAATTGATCAAACTGAATGGGTTCTTGACTACAGATCAATTACAGAAGAGACCAACTAGATTATATAATCTAGTATCAGAGTGTAAGGCCACTATAAGTGTCCATTCACACCGGTGCAATTTGCAAATTGAAAATCGCATCTAATGAATGTCAGTGTCTTGTAATTTCTCAAGTAGTTCTTGCATTACTTTTTCTGCACTTTTGTTGCGATTTCACATACATTGCACTACAAATTGCAAGAAATTATTAAAAATCTTCACAAGTAACAATAAAGTCTTCAGAAATAGCACCTGAAATTGCACACAAATTGTGTGATTTCAAATCGCACGGTGTGACTGGTGATTAACTGAGATTGTAGGATCGGTTTGGCATGTGTGTACTAAGCTTTAGGCCTCATGTACACTTGAACTTCCCTAGACGTTACGCTCTCCTAGCAGCAGAAAAATGCGTGTGAACGCAGTATCGCGTTTAATGCTTGGCCATTTATTCATTTGATTGACCAGAGTACTTTCCACTGACATGGATAAACGCCCAAGCACTAAACACACCTAGTGCTTAGATGTGTTTAGCTTTTTTTGGTGAAAATGTTCCTCCTCTGAACAGGATTCTTTTTACCCTAAACTCTGCTAAAAGCCTATGTGTACATGGACACATAGGTTTTTATCGAGTTGCGTTCAGGGGCTTTGACAAAGAAAAAAAAAAAAAAAACCGCCAAAAGCTCCTAAACTCACATTTACACCCCAGTCACACCGATCTGACTTTGAAATCGTGCGACTTCCATTGAAGTCACACGATTTAAAAGTCGGATGGTATTCAAGACAGATGTCTATGCAATTCGCACCGAATGTAGTGCATGCACTACTTTAGAAATCAGTGTGGCTCCGACCAAGTCGGAATCACACGGATATGACTGCTGTAATTGCAGACAATACAGTGCGATTTGAAAGTTGCATTGCATATCACGTGTCAAGTCGCAACTGGTGTGACCAGGGTCTTAGAGGCAGCAGTGTACATGTGGCCTTCCACCATTATAAAATGATGGTCCCCAGTTTGTAGGCACGTTGTCACAAATGTCCTTCTTGAAAATATAAATGATCACCAAAAATGTACAAACAATACAGTGTACAGCGATCGATAATGGTCTTACCTTACTGATGTAACCTTGTAATAGAAAATCCTAGGGTGCAGCTCAATTCCTCTTTAACATCCAGCAATACAAGCCCAGGAGAAGCTTGCCTACCAGTTGCATCAGCAAGTCCCCATTCAATCGGCTGAATACTAATCAAACGACACTGGGAAAGCACTTTCACTAGACATCTGAAAAGTATATTCGAGTGAATCAATATTAAAATACAACAGAAATCCCAAAATGCCATGCAGGACGTCCTGAGCAATGACCACCAACCTACCCTGTCTCTGTGGACTCAGGCTGTGTCTCTATGACAAGTCCAGCACACTGGCATCTTCCCCTAATGAGACATGGCGCTGCACAGCATTGCTCCGGTGGACGTGAACCATGCTGTCACGTGGGTGCCTATCTTCCTGGTATCGTCTACGGGGGAGGACACAGCAACGCCCACAGTCTTCACTGAGCATGCACACATCCTTTATTCCTTTCCTCTTCTAAATGTCATTGTAGTAACGTCGTGTTCTGTTAACCTCTTCTATTTCTATCATTCTATTAATCCCTCCATTACTAACAGCTTCTGGTTCCTACTCACTGTGTTCACTAACAGCACGAGGTGATAATAAACCCTCATTTTATTTAGCAGCTTCTTTATCTTTTATTCCACTTGACCTCTGGAAAAAGCTGTCAATTTACGCAGTGCTCTATATATTTCGTAAACCGGCGGTCACATGATCGGGAAATCACTGGTGGGCACTGAAAGGCAGCACCCATATATGGCACTGATTGGCAGCACTGACTGGCATTGATAGGTGGCACTGAAAGGCAGCTCAAATGGGCACTGATATGTGGTATTTATGTACACTGGTAGGCACTGATATGTGGCATTGATGTGACACTGATGAGCACTGACAGCTGGCATTGATGGACACTGACAGGTGGCACTGCTGGGGCTACGCTGATCATCAGGGCACACTGATCATCAACGCCCTGGTGATCAGTGTACATTTTCCCTCTGAGGAATGCCAATTACCGATTACAGCCTGACAGCTCGTGAGGAAAGAAATGCCGATAACCGGCATTTTTCTATTTTCATGCGATCAGCTGTGATTGGACACAGCTAATCACATGACCAAGCCAACATCTTCGGCTCTTTCCGAGGGACACAGCACACCACCGATCACCGCTCTGCGCGCCCCCAGAGCCACGCATGCGTGGTTAGAGATGGAAGACATCATATGACGTCCTCCCAGAATGAGAGAACCGCCTTGCGCCCGTCATTACTTTATATGGCGGGCGGGAGGTGGTTAAACTAAAAACTCTGAGGGTTTGATTTTACTTCTTCAGTATTGCCACTAGAGGGCACAATGTACACTTAGTATATTTAAAGGATAAATTCACCTTTAAAAAAAGAAATAAATAAATTAATAATCCCAAATGTCCCTGATTTCGAGGGACTGTCCATGATTTGCAACAAAGTCCCTCTGTCCCTCTTTTCTCCTCATTTATCCCTCATTTTGGTCTGATCTATACAGTTGTATATGAAATGCATTATTTGTCTTTCAAAAAGTGTTTCCCAGTGCTAAACCTTTCATTCAGCTTTTAAATTGTTGCATTTGTAAAGTTCAAAAGCCAATCAAAAAGAATAGCAGTAATAAAAAAAAAAAAGTAGGTTTAACCTTTTAAGGACCGCCCTATAGCAGATATGCTGGTACAGGGCGGCACCTGTGCGCAAAATCACATATATATATATGTGTGTGTGTGATTTTGCATTTCCGGGCAGGGGGCGCACACCACGCTGCCATTCACATCTGTGGATGTCAGTCACCGGGTGATTACCAAGCATCTCTGACGGGGAGGAAGATTGTTTTGTTTACAATCTTCCTCCCTGTCAGCTCGGGCACACTGCTGTGCACAGTACAGCCATCCTGATCAGTGTGCTTACAGTGAAGAACACACCCCCCACCATCTAGTAAAACACTCCCAGCACACAGTTAACCCTTTGATCGCCCCTCACATTAACCCCTTCCTGCCTAGTGCCATTAGTACAGTGTCAGTGCTTTTTTTTTTTAGCACTGATCACTGTATTGGTGTCACTGGAGATATCAGTGACACCAAGTTAGTTCCTCCCCAGTATCAGAATGTCCGCTGCACTTTCGCTAAAAGTCACTGATCGCCGACACTACTAGTAGAAAAATAATTCCCATTATCTATACCGCCATTTGTAAATGCTATAACTTTCACATAAACCAATTAATTTACACATATTGGAATTTTTTTTAGCAAAGACATGTAGCAGAATACATTTTGGCCTAAATTTATGATGAAATTTGATTTGTT